CCTGATGATCAAAAGACCGCTCTGGATGAAGCATTACATCTAGGCACGGTTGCCCTGGATCTCCTGGTTAGGTGAGCTACCCGTTTTTGCTGTTTAAGAGAAGGAATTGCCGAAAGGTTCTAATTTTTGTGGTTTATGGGTATGCGATATACTTCCACACTGGTTGATGTTATTGTGTCAGACGGGCAAGTGACCAAAATTACGTTGTCGCAGAAGTATTTAGTTGAGAGGTAATCACTTGCGAAGCGCACATAAAGCGGGTGTGTTGTTCCTTTCTAGCCCCTTCCCCCCACTATCTACATTTTTGTTCAGCAAAACGGATTCTATATCGTTCCTTAACCATCAGATGCAGTCTTTTCCAGCGAAAAAGGTCAAGGCGCTTCTGATCTGCTATGGCTGACAAAATCTCCAATATTGAGACCGACTACCACTTGACTACTGTGAGCTTTAAATCTGCTTCGCGTCGATGAGGAAACATCACGCACAGGTCTGACCTTTATGCGCCCGGCATCCCACGGCCCAAACAAACCGGTCCGGCTTAACGTCCCCCCGGATCCTGAGCACGCGTCAGTCAGCACGAGATTATAATCTATGGAAAGGGAGTAAATTCAGCCGGCTCCGGCCTGAAGAAACCATACGCGACCTTGGTATGCAAATTAGGTGTAAGTAAGATGAAGATCAGCGCGACGGAACACCTTTCTTTGCCTCTGGATCTTACGAGGTTCGCTCCAGTTCTTCAGTTAGTGTGCTGCTGCAGTCCAGCCTTTCTTCTGTAGGTCTTCAAAAGGACAGGAGACCGGAAGTACAACAAAGCACGCGCTGATGACTATCTTTGGTGGAACGCTAGAGGGGAGGGGTGCTGTTTGACTACAGTAGCCGTTGGTCAACAAGACATCCCTACCAAAAATAGGCAACACTACCCCTTACCACAGATCTTTCGTTACGATTATTATTTCGCACCACGTAAACGATACTTTTATTTTAAATTCTAAAAATTACCTTGACGCCAAAGTCTTCGCAGTCGTCCTGCGCAATCGCTTCCCCCTTGTCCTAAGACGCGTAGATAAGAGTCAGTACGGGTGTAAGCCGAGCTTTTCGGGCAGATTAGTATTGTTTCAATCTCGATTGCTTGCGGTCGATCATGCTCCATGGCAGGATGCCGCCGCTGCTACTACGATTTATTTACGCCTGCTATAACAGAGCAAACAACGATTTCCGAGTAAATTTCGACAGGAATGCTTTCTTTGCTGTCCCCTCCGGCCTTTTTTATCACTTGTAACATTATAATAGGTCGTATTTCCTGTATTGACGCCCATAACGAAGCTAATAAACTGTGGGTGCTGGTGAGCTTATCGAATGGTGTTAAGGTTAATAGAGTAAACCCTTGTCATAACGATCTTTAGACCCGGTTTCTTAGGAGAAGAGAGAAGTCTTGGAAAGGCGAGAGTTGTAGGAACAGGGTATTCTGTACAGAAGGAATGAAGAATAGGTAGGAGGAGATTTGACACAGTCCATCCGCTAGGGCGGCTTGGCCCAAATGCTGGCCTGGCGATAGTCCTTCTGAGTTAGTCTTGAGATCCAATGACCAAACGGATTGAGGCCGACCTAATAATTGAGGCTAGCCTACTAATGCGAGCATCTCATTGGACTGATTGAGGTAAGCTTTCTAAATGCGGCTTCTCGCGAAGTCAGCAGACGTTTCGGACTCTCAATCGAGGTCATTGTCAAGGAATGAAGACGTACAGCTCGCTGCGTTATTAAGTCAGCTCTGCCGTGGGTGACCTTGAGTTTCCATTGTTCGCTCCGAGTGAGAGTCCGAAACGTCGGGCAAATAAAATACTGGTCCCAGAGAGCGT